AAACTGTTCTATGATTCTATGACTAAAGAAAGCATTCTAGGAAAGTATACGGGTAGTCTGTTCCTTCCTAAAGGTCCACTTTTGGGTCGCTGCCAGAAAAATGATGTGATCTAGATATAGTTTTACATTTAGTGCAGTGTAGCTCTCTCTGTGATCTGCTGCACATTTAATTTCTATTACCTGTATTACAAAAAATACAATCAGAAGGCTACTACAGTGCTAGTTGTGAAGATAGCATAGCTAATAACATATATTTATCTGCGTTTCATTTTTTTTTCCTGATATCTTCATCACGAAGCTGGAAGTAGGGCTTCACTATATCAGGATGGTGGCCTGGTTTTGGTTGAATAGAACTGAAGCAGAAAATCTGTTCAATACACTTGTTCTTAAGTGAAAACATAGCTCTGTGCTAAATGGCAAATATGTCTTTCAGATTTCTGTAATTTTTCGTTTCACGACTTGGAAAGTGTTACAAATAATTTTGATGCGCGACCAGAGTCAGCTGGAGGTAATAAACTGGGAGAAGGTGGCTTTGGCGTTGTGTTCAAAGGCTACATCAATGGCAGAAATGTGGCTGTCAAGAAGCTCGTTGCTGTGAGTTGTCCTGGGCACTTTTCTTTTTAAGGACTGTGTACTTTATAATATTGACTTGTTTATCTGTGGAAGGTGTTGAATGATGCACTTCAGAAAGTGTCACCGTGTTAAACATCCGTTGGGCTGAGAACCTTGCCCTGTAGTCCCGTGAGTGCTGTGAGTCGGCACAGTCGCCAGAGATGAAGCCCTGCCTTTTCTGTAGCGCTCCTTTGAGTGGCTCAGGCAAGTTGTCTGGAAGAGCAGAGTGCTCCCCTGTTTCCCCTCCCTCCCCGCCACACAAGAAGTGGCAGAAAGGAAGGGGTGCTGGGAAGTTTTCCCTTTCAGAATCAGATGAACAATTCACAAGCTAACTAGGTATTGCCATGGAATTTTAGTCTTCATGACTGGTGTTGTGTGTGAATAATTAATTTTATAATGAGTAAGTGCTATTAGTGGGTAACTGCAGTGAACTAAAATGGGTGACTGTGCTGAAACTGGATCCATTTGTCCAATAATGTAGTGTTCCAAGGAATTAAAAATCATGTTCTGATACTTTTTTTTTGAGTTAAAAAATACTGTGAACAGTTAGGTAGTTGTTACGTGTAACTAATCTAAAGGCAGGCTTACAATTCTGATTTTTTAAATGAACTGTGCATTTTAATATGGCCAGTGATACTAACGTCAAATACTTCCTTTTGTAGATGGTTGATGTTAGTGTTCAGGACTTGAAACAGCAATTTGATCAAGAAATAAAAATGATGGCAAAGTGAGTACAGACTTACACGATGTCATTATAGCCTTTTATGGGAATCTGAGTTGGCAGATAACACGTTAGCTAGTGCGATCCCATATTTTTCTCTTTCTAGCATAACAATGATTTTCATGTTAAGTGAGACTGTTTCACGTCCAACATGACTTTATTTTGTTCATTTTAAAGCACCACTGCAGAAACCTGGCTGTGTGCAGTAGGGCTGATACGAGTAATTTGGGATCAAGTTCCCTCTGCCTTGTGTTTTCCTCAAATGTTGAGAGTCTTTCAGAGCATATATGAATAGAATTTTTTTGCTATAGGTGTCAGCATGAGAATCTAGTAGAATTACTTGGTTTCTCAAGTGATGGTGCTCAGCCATGTCTGGTGTACGAATACATGCCCAATGGTTCGTTGCTTGACAGACTTGCTTGTCTGGTAAGTAAAATCTTTTCTAGGTTCCAGTTGCCTTACTTTGCTGAAGTATAGGTGTCTGTGGAATGTCTTTGAAACAGTACTGAACTGTAATGGCCAAAGGATGTTTTACTACCCACTTCTGTGTTCTAGAAGACAAATATTAACGTAACAAGTATTCTTCCAATAACGTTTTATACAAATGTTTTAGAGGCATTAAAGTCAAAGTGGGCTGACAATACAGTGTCATGTACCCGTACCTGGAGTGGCACAGGAGCTTGGCCTTGTTATGGCTGCGTGGAGCGAAGCAGAGGCTGCTGCAGTGTTGTTCCCAGTTCTGACATTGGCACGTTCTCTGCTAGTTCTTGAGTTTCTGCATTGTGAAATTGCCCTTTGTTCATTGCCCTTGTGATAGTGGTTATACCACAATGTTCACATCGGTGTATCTCTTTCTGAAGGGCCTAAATAAATGGGAAATACTTTTTTTTTTTTTTCAAATTAGTGTTTTGTGTAAATGCGATACTTTTTTCCGATTTAATCAAATGACCTATCTTCTAGCCTTGGCCTTTAGTAAATAATAAGTTCCTTTGGTTTTGGTGAGGCAACTCTGTGTGTGAAGGACAAGCTGTTGCTCATTAGAGTGATACCAACAGTAAGCCAGACTTAACCTAGTAGATGAGGTTAAGGTTGTTAGGATGTTGAAGGAGTTCAAAAATCTGCTTTATACTAAGCAAATGCAGCTTCTGTGACTGTAATCTGGTGAACATTTTAAACTTCAACCCCCCATGCCCCCAGACCTAAAAAATGTTGTTTTGCTTTTTTCTGCACTGATCTTCCTGTTGTACTGGGTCCAGCATTTAGTAGTTGGAGAAAGAGCTGGGTTAGGGAACTGATCAGGCTGAAAAAGTACTCTGTGAAAAAAAAATCTTTAATTTTGACCTGGAGACATTTCCTCTGCAAGGCTGCACAAATAGTTCTGCAACAACAGGAAAGAAGGCTTGTTAGGATGAGGATTGGTAGCAGTGGTTGGGGAAGGAACTGGCTATGTCTGGTAGCACTGCTGTCTCAGGTTGGTTTGGTTGATTTGCTTGCACACACTTAACACATTTGCAATTTTAATTTTTTTTTTTTTTTTTCAAATTGAATCAGTGCAGAAGAGAGACTAAGGTTTACTTAAGGCAGTGCAAGTTTATCTGTAGAAATGAGCAGTGCTTGATGAGGATGTATGTGAAAATGTTCATCCTTGTAGCTTCGGCCACTATCACCAAATGAGCTGAAAAGATTGGTGGTAATTGAAAGCTAAAGTAGGAATACCTGAGGCCTTTACAAGGAAGAGACAAACTTACGATATAAATCGTAAAGATTCTAAATCAGACTCTATAAATCAGAAAGAATCTTCTGATAAAGTCGAATAGGTGAGGAATGTGCATACTGAATGTGCGTTCTTGCTGATAATTTTGTGGCTTCACTGGATGTGTTTGAGGCACAGACTCTTGCTTATGTCATCTTCTTCTTGTCTGGGCTTTGAGGAGCACGGGAGGGAGGTGGCAGAATAATGAGATACTCTAATCCTCTGCTCTCGCCCACTGTCAGAAAGCGGTTTTGAAATGTTGGTGTCCTCTCTTCTAAGGTCTAGTTAGTAACATGGATCGAGCTAAACTCTTGAAGTGGTAAATCCAAAACCACTGGCAGATTGACTTCTCATGGTTAGTAAAACCTGTGAATTACTTGCTTTGGGTTCAAAGGCTCTGGTACCGGTGCTGGTACAAAGTGGAAGATGCGGTAGGTACAGGCAGTTCTTTGCAGTGCAGCTGGCCTTGCACGGCCAGAGTTGGGTATTAGCGAGAACACTTTTTGCAACGGTGAGGCAAAATGCAGGGGAAAGAACTGAATGTGACAAATGCGTGTATTTCTGCCCAAGTAAAATGAGAAATGTATTTTATTAGTCTTTTTAATTATTTATTTGAAAAAGCACAAAACATAGCAAGAAGTCAGTTTTGGATTGTGGGGGGGGTTGTTTTACATCAGCATATATACGTTAGATTTTTCACCTTTCTACTTGCTTTTATCCCTTCTTATTCAAGGATGACACCCCACCAATTTCTTGGAATACAAGATGTAAAATTGTTCAAGGTACAGCAGATGGCGTCGAATTTTTACATGAAAATAATCATATTCACAGAGATATTAAAAGGTAAAAGCTGCTGACTCGCTGGCTGCTTTTTTTTTTTTTTTTTTTTGAGAGAGCGCAAACTGCAAGCAGCATAGCTTCAGTCAAGGGCACAATCTTTTCTGCAAGTGACATCCATCACCATAATCTTGTCTGTGCCACAAGGACATGACCAGTACAGACTTCCAAAGATAATTATGAGGCTATTGTAATCTGGTACTATCAAATAGTTATTTGAGTGCTGTGAGGGCACCCAGAAGTTCTGTTCTTTCACAACTGCTGCTAATGAAAAAGCTGCTGTTAAAGAACATAATGACTTTTTAAATGGGGAATTTTTTAGATGAAAACCCACCTTTTAATTTCTTTTTCCCAGAACATTTCTTCAGAGTGTCTCCTTTGATTTACTGCTATTTATTATGAAGACAGTTAAAATTACTTTAGTCAGATTTATGAAGTTCAGGGTTCTTCAAGGATAATGTATGTTCACTTGTTTGCTATACCAGATATTTTTCTAGGGATACCAGAGCTCAGAAAAGGTGAGAGTTTTGTGGTAGGATTTGGTGGGGGTTTTCTTGTTTGGTTTGTTTTTTTCCCTTTCCTTGCTACAGTTTGTTGTATTGTTTTTTTTTTTTTTAAATACTGAAGCAGTCCAAATCTTTGAAGAAAAGCCCCAGATGACTTACTGCTTCTGTGGGTTAAGGAGGAGCAACTGACAGATTGGGTATCACAGATTTCAAGAGCTTTCTGGCTTCTGGCAATTCTGCTGAATGTAGAGACCACTTTGGTTTTGTGACCTTCCAGCTTGTGAGGAACACGTTTTTGCTTCAGCTGCCTCGTAAAATGTGCTTACTGCTTTGACAATTTGTTTCTTCTTTCTTCCCTGCTTAAGCCTCTGGACAAGTGTAATGACTGGAAGGGATGCGTTTTTTACCTTATGCTACTCTGCCCTTCTAACTGCTGTGAGTTGTTCATATTACAGGATTTTGTTTTGTTTTTTCTTTTGTTTGGATTCTGTTTTGCAGCCTCTTGCACTTGCAGTGTGAATAGTTCAGTAAATTTAATTGTGGTTATTAATAGTGCTGCCTCTCCCAGATAAGACTTAGATGAAGAGACATCTTAGAAGGTTTACTTCAGTCCTCATTTTGTTATGATGTGTGGAGACAATTCTTAACTACACAGGTACTAGAACAGCTTCTGTGTAGGCTAGAGGGGATGTGACTGAATGGGTGTTCTCAGAGTTGCTCATAGTTTTTTGGCTTGGTTATGCACAGGAAATAGTTCATTTATTTCTTGAAGCTTGACTGTTGCAGTAAAACTTGCTTCTGATGTGCCCTTTGTGGTGTATCAAAAAAGTGACTATTCTTTGGGCTTGACCTAAGTTGATAAGCTCAGATTTATGAAGCTGTGATCCTGTTCTTCCTTCTTTTAGAAGCTGAGCTTTAAATATAAAATGAGTTGGTGGACAGTGCCTTGACTAGTGTTTGGCCTTTTGTGGTGGTCTTGTGTTTAACGCTATTTACAGCAGTTCTAATGCCAAGTGATCTGCTGTAACGTACAGCTGTGTTAATTTTCTTGAGAAGGTTTGGTGAACAAGAAGGGGAAGTTAGAAATCCAAGTTTCTAGTAAGTGTTGCATTTTGTATCTGCTTATGTGGTTTTCTTATGGTTCCATTAAGGGGGTCAGAAAATGAGGAGGAAATACTAAATCAAGTATTTTTAAAATGGTTCCAAGTGCTACAAGTTTAAAAAACAGTAGAAGATTTATGATTTATTTATTTATCCCACCGAGTATTTTATGACAACGTTAAGGGCTTTTGGATAAGCTTCATTCTTCAGGGGATTTTTTAAGGGAAGTAAAAGCTGGAGATCAAGTGGAAACATAGCACTAATATTATTCCAGCATTAATAAGTTTTCTGTTTCTCCTCCAGGAGAAGAATAAAAGTATTAGTATTCATTTGGTATGTGAATTTGTAATGGTTGACATAGTATTAGCTAATAGGTATAAAAACCTGCTTTTATTTTTTTTTCTTGTTCTGAGTAGAGATTTAGACAGTTAATTGAACTGTGATCCAGTACCAGTTGATCAGAGCTAAGCATTCTCTATCGTCCTTCTTAAAGAAAGAGTATTCAGATCCAAGACATGAGTGTAACATAATTGGTCTAAGAAATTTTTGTATTTGTAGGACTGGGGGGGGGGAGGGGGGCAGTGTTTGGGGTTTTTTTCCCTTGTTTTTTTAATCCCCCCTTTTTTCTTTTTCTTTCTTTTTTTTTTTTTTCCTTTTTCTTTTTTTAATGCATTCATGCATGCGCAAGAAAAAACATGGATGGATCCTGGCAGCCAGTTCTTGATTTATTCAGAGAAATTGAATTTGAAATCGAGCAATTTTGAACAAAATTAGCTCTCGCATTTTTTGTTATATGGTTAATGAATAAATATATTAGATTTCAAGAAACACTCAAAATAGCAGTGTGCATTTGGTTATTAAAGAGTTACTAGTCTGTTAAAAACCTAATGACTGTACTGGTTTGGAAAATTCTCTTTTCTTTTTTTTTCCCCCTCCCCTCTCCCCCAGTGCAAATATTTTATTAACTGATACCTACATGCCCAAAATTTCTGACTTTGGACTTGCAAGAGCATCTGTAACATTCACACAAACAATCATGACTGAAAGAATTGTTGGGACAGCAGCCTATATGGCGCCTGAAGCTCTGCGAGGAGAGATAACACCTAAATCTGATATCTTCAGCTTTGGAGTAGTAAGTAGAATGTGGGAAGCAGCGTATGGCTTTTTTTATAAATGATAAAAGCATACTAAATCAAGAATATCTGAAATTAAATAAGCCACTGATCTGTCATTTCTCCTTTTCCCAATAGATGTGCTCTTAAGATAGTGTTTCTAAACCTTGATTGGTTTAAAATCATTTGAATATGTTGATTAAAAGATTGAATTTGCTAATGATTACAATAATTACATAAAAATGTACATTTACATGTGAAAGACTGTAGTAAAGTAACATTCCAAGGTCTACCTAAATGTAGTTCGAAGTAATGTAGAACATTGTTTCTTCTTGCATAGTATTGCACAAAAATGTAACTTGGGCTGGAAAATTTTTTTTTTTAAAGAAAATGTTCCGAAATTAAGTGTTTTACTATTTTTTAAGCACCAAAAGTATGCTGTCCACGTGGGACTTGCCTTAAAGCTGAGTACAAAAGAGAGATGAGCTTAATATTTGGGAAAATAATGAATCAGTTCAGAATAGATTCAAGACCCTAATTGCTATTGAGCACTTCCTTCAGGGCATTTAGTTCCTTGGGGAGGCAGGCCAGAGACTGTTTGTGAATGCTTTGGAGATCCTTCCATCTTGCTTCGAAGCAACAGAACGTAGGGTGAGAAAAACTTGTGCCGACATCCCTAAACCACACTGCTAATAACAGTCAATGAAAATAAAGGTAGGAACAACAATCAATTGTACAGAAGCTGTCTTTGGTCAAACACAGATCCTGTGAGCATTTGTTTGAAAGACTGGGGGTCCTTCTCCTCTTTGCAAGTGGTGTATATGCTAAGAATTATTCTGTGCTTCATTTTCCTTTCTGATTTTTTTTCTCCTAGGTCTTACTAGAAATAATAACGGGTCTTCCTCCAGTAGATGAAAACCGGGAGCCACAGTTACTGGTATGTCGTTTTTGCTTTCTCCTCCCCTCCCCCTGCTCCAGGATCACTTTATATGAAGTCTTTGTCAGTTAACAGGTTCTGAAATCATCAAATTAGTCACCAAAGTACGCAATTGTGGAAACAGCTCATGTCAATGTTTGTCTTAGAGATGAGGCTGAAACTTTCATCTCTTAGCTGGTAGAAGATTGTTCAGTCCCCAAGGTCATCTCCTTCCGACCTGATAGTAGAATTCTCTTCATTTTGGTGCTGTTTCTTACTGTAATAGAAGCACTGTGCTCTATCAGCGTACTCCTGTGATACCCTGTCTCTGAATGAAACAGTTCCTCATTCACCAGAACATTTTAAACTTTTCATCTCAGTTGTTTCTTTATGGTTCTTCATACTTCCTACCATTCCTGTATTCATTTTCATCTTCAACTTTACTAGTAATTTGCAAATACCTTGTGTTTTTAACCTTAGGGAAGTTTGGAATCTAAGGGCTTTTTTGCAGGGTGAGAGGTGGGTTGAATTTTGTTTTTTATTTTACTATTCCATTAATAATTCAGTCTACTAATTAGGAAACTCATGTCTTGGAGCTTACTCTCTTGAATTAAATTCGTACAAGGCTGTTCTTAATTTAGCCTTTCATTTAGCTTAAAATTAAATTCTGAACTATGTAATCCAAGGTTTTCCTAGAATATTTTTTACATAAAGACTTAATTGTTTACTAAGTATGAAATACCATTGAGGTTTGGATTGGTTTTGTTCCATACTGTTTGGTAACAGATCACTTTTTTCCCAAAGCTTTAGGAATACCTGTGTACTATTAATAGTTTGTTGGGTTTTTTTTTGTTTTTTTTTCTTTTTCCTCTAAGCTGTTACATCTGGCATGGCATAATATTTACCCTGTTGAGCCTGTAAAGACCTTGGAGAACTCAGTCCCTGTCAAATTGAATCTTGAGGCTTTGGGGTTTTTTTTAAAGCAGGCATTTTCAGAGATAAGATCTAGAAAGGAATATGAAGTATGATTTGACTGGTACAGTTTACCTTTGCAGTGTACTTTTGGGAGCATAAAGAGAACGGTCAGTGCAAGATAACGTGGCATCTTTAGCTTTGAAAACTTTGGGGTAGTTGAACGTTAGTCAGCAATTTCAGACTGACCCATAGAGGAAGGCAGAAGACTTGCCTCTACTCACTGACTTTTTCTTACTTCATTTACGATGCTGACTTGTTGGAGCTATTCCTCAAACAGTGTTTGTGATACAGATAACACTTTTCAAGTGTGTTGGAGCTGGAGAGCTTTGGACTAAAACAGATTAAAAAATGTATTTCAGACTAGAAGTTTCCTTTAGAATAGATAGAGCAGCTACTGAGGCTGGGGACAGAAGGCATTACTTTACAGAAAGAGGCTTTATAAAGTTGACAAAAAAGTTATTCACACTTAAGCTTACATGTTTGTAGGCTATTAAGGAAACACAGATACTTGATGTTGATCATGCTTCTTCTGTTAAAGAGAGAATACTACAAAACTGAGCTGGGAGAAAGTTAAAGCTGTATGATGCAGCTTAAAGAAAATTGCTTTACGATGTTGTGTTAGCTCAATTAGAAATAATGTATAATAAAAATGTATAGTTCATTCATAGTCTCATAGGCTGTTTCTGCAGATACTGATAAATAATTGTGCCGCTGAACCACTGTCATCATTCTTTGTCTGGCAAAGTGGTTGGGAAAAGAAATGACCACTCAAAAGCAAGTTTTCAAAGTGTTAGTGTGGAATACATGATGTTCAGATGCTTACGATGTTATCTGCTCAGTGGTTCTAACTCTCTTGCAGTTAAGTATCAAGGATGAAATTGAGGATGAAGAAGCAACTATTGAGGATTATGTTGATGAAAAGATGAGTGACTGGGATGCACCTTCAGTTCATATAATGTATTCAATTGCTGATCAGTGTCTGAATGAGAAGAAAAACAGAAGGCCAGACATTAAGATGGTATGTGGCCTTTTGGATAAAAGCCTTATTTTGAGTGTGTGTCTGTGTGTGTGTGGTTACACTATCATTTATTGCCATCTGTTCTCTTGCAGGTCCAACAGCGTCTACAAGAGATAAAAACTTGATAGGTGTTTCTTGGATACACAAATGTTTTTGTAATGGACTAGACACCAGTAGCAAATATTTTATTAGTATTTAGTGCAATATTACCAGCTTTTCGGCTTTCCAGAACTTTCTGGTCTGCACAAAGGTGTGCTGTTGGCCTGTCACCATTGTGCTGTTCTTGTTAACCGAGCAGCCTTTTCACATATCCGTAGCCACTGGGCCCGTAACATGAGAAAACTTCTTTTATATTAGCAAATAGCAGTGCCGGTGCATCTCCACAGCTTTTAAAGTGCATTTCCATATTAGAATCTATTTGATTCTTTGATTTCCAAGTATCAGGTATGTCTGCTGCAAAGGCATATGACAGTAACAGGGTAGAATGTTTATTCTGCAAATTGCTTTCTTGATCAGGTGCAGTAGACCTTTTTCTGCTGAAGACAAAAACATTTAATAGATATAAATGACACTTCTGTTTTAAATGGGTACTTCTATTGTCTTTTCCCCAAAAGACAACAAACTTTATTTTGCATTTTAACTTGAGAGTTCCTATTAGTGTGAATGGACTGGTAGTGTTTGTGAATATCACTGTTTTTCAGAAAGTCTTCTCAGGATTAGTTTTAGTCAAATAAACACTGCAAGACATACTGTAGGTTGGTTTTGGTTTCAAGGATTTCCAAGCAAAATAAGTATACTGCAGTGCAAATTCAAAAATACATATGGCTTTCTTCCCGTCATCTCTATATGATGACAAAACATTTCCTTTTTATTCATTGGAAGACTCTTAGCTACTTTGAGTATTTTACACTTTAGGAGAAGATTCCATATGGATTATAAATACAGATGGTTTGTTTTGTTAAAGGGGCCAGAATAATAATTCTGTTAAGACCAATTCTGCATTTTCCTTAATCAAATAATCAAGCCCTTAAAAATATATATGTATGTATATTAAGTAAATATTAAAATACTTTTTAAAAAGCAACATGGAAGTCTTTCTAAAATAGAAACATTGACGTATCAAAGCAAACTAAAAATGGAATGAAAGTGACTAGTAAAATTCCAGATACTTTGGACTAAGGTATGAAAATACTGCCATTGTAAATCAATTAGGTTATTTTCATATAAACCTTTTTTGCACCTCATGAGCTTTTTCTTGTCAGCTTAGAGGTAGGACAATAGTCTGGCTTACAGCTAAATTTGAAATTCTGTGATTAGCAAAGGAAAAGGAAACACTGAGAAATGATCTGACTGCATTCAGGGATATATATAGCTTGTAATTACATCCTTAGATCTCTGGCTTTTAACTCATATTGCCTTTTCAAATGGATAGTTTAATTCAGAAAAGGTATCCACCAAAACAGCTTCTAGTTTTATTGAGCATAAATTGTAAAAAGCTGTTAACATAAATAAAAACTCTGCATTATCAAAACTTTGAGCCTGGGAAACAACAGTCATTGTACATTGCTTGCATTTCTGATAAGGCCACTATGCCAGCCTCACTGCATGGAATTGAGATAGAGAGCACTGGAGAGCTCGGAACCTGGGCTTGTGGAGAAAAAAGCTGCTATAGTGCTAAATCAGAATAAAATCTGCTGAAGCCGTTCTTTAGTTTTAAACATCTGCAGCTGTTATGGGAAGGTTTCTTGTTAGATCACATCTGCTTTTTACTATTCCCTGGAGCTAGAATACTGAATCCATAGTGTGTTTGCTGTAGTAAACCAGTCAGTGCTGCTCATCTGTGGTGCAGTAGAATGATTTTGTTCATACACCAGCCATGATGTTCTACGTATTAGGAGAATCTTGGCTACAAGCATGTGAGTACAAGGCTGCTGAGGAATGAATACAAGAACAGGACATGTATGTAGAGATACTGCATTGGAATGGGATGGCTTTGTACAGTTTGCGGCTCATTCGTTATTAAGCCTCTATCAAATTTGCTTTGATCAGTTTCTCCAGTTGCCTTTTAAGCCAACACACCTTTTACCAGCCATAAGACTTCATATTGTTGAAAGGGGAAGAACTGCCTCATGTTTGTATTCAGGCTGGCCAGCTGAGAGTTTTATTTTACAGCCCCTGTCCAAAAGGCAAATAGAACTGCTGTTGATATTTGTGGTCACGCAGAGGCCTAGCCTATTCCCTCCTCTTACCCTGGTCCTGCTCCCCTTACAGAAGTAGCTTTGTTCCTGTATAGCATTTTGCAATAAAATTATTCTCCTAAATCCTAGTTCAACACATCTTCAAGTTTCCTTCTAACTGCAGAATTGCCATATCACTGATTTCCCCATGGGCATGTGTTGGCAGGACAGTTAGAAGAAAAGCCAAACCACTAAATGTTCTTTTCAGCTTGAATTTTGAGGGCAATAGGAAGACCAAGCAAGCTACTTTCTGTTGAAACAAAGAAACATTAGTAGAACAACATAATTTGAGTAGTTTAATTATACTACCTCATGCTGAGCAAGTAACAACAGACAGAACTGTTAAATTACTAATCAACTACATCAGCATTTTAAAGGATAGAAGAACTTTTTGAAGGGGCTTATTATTGGAAGCATAAAAACCTCAAGAGATGAACACCTTGGATCCTGCTATGGAGGCCTTGTGCTGCTTCTGTAAAGCAACAGGAAAGTAGCTGTTTCCAACAGACTGATTTTTCTTCAATACAAAAGCCGGGAATTCTGTTTCTGCCGACCTCCCTCCTGACACCCTGCAATCACTTCTTCTATACTGTGGGAAGTGCAGTTACTTACACAACAGGATGTTAGAAAACAGATCTTTGTTAAAGAGATTATTCAATGATTCAGACAAGACCAAACTAAAGCATCAATCTTTATTTATAAAGTAAATTACAAAATAGATAAGGTAAACTTGGTTAATTTTAGCATCTGAAGGTGGCTTTCACGGAATACATAGACACTGTAAATCAAAAGTCTCCTTTATCAATGTGTTTATCCAAGTAATAGAGCAATTACTACCTTGATTAGTTTTACAGACCTCTGATAGGAGTGTTTTAGAAGATCAAATTCTCCCTACTTTACAAAATAAACATTTCAAAAATAATCACCTGTCATGTTAACTGCAAGCAGCTGCATTGCTTTTGGGCTTTATGAAGGCCAACAACAATTTGAATGGACACTTTCAGTTATTAAATGACCAGAGACAGTTAAAAGAGTAACTTTCATTAATGCCCTCATTTTGTGCTGGCTCTGAACATTCACTAGCAGTAGTAGTGTTATGTGAGGCAACTACGCAGACGTAAACGTGACAGATCTTACAAAAAGATCAGATGCTTCTTATTGCTTCGTCAGGAGAATGGCTACGAGAGGTCTGGAGAGGCAGTTGGCAGTACCAGACATCATACCATTCTCTTTCAGGGTAAAGGTGAGGGGAAAGTATGCTCAGGACATGGCTCTCTGCTGGCTGGTCAGGGGGTTGCACACCCACATAGAATATTTTCAAGTACGATAACTTACAAGGTCTGGTTTGGGCTGAACCCTAAAGCAGCTCATTATAAACGCCCTCGCATAATCGCTTAACCAGCTCTCGCCATCCTCCAGATTACCTCCTATCCTCAGGTACCTAGGGCAGGATTAGGGAAAAAAAAAGCAAAACAACACAAAACACAACATGCACGTAATCATATCAGGTCAAACTGTTCATTATTTAAAACACTTGGTATTAAAAAGCTGAACTTCTTTACTGGCTCAAATAAGCGTAAAAAGGTATGTGCACTCTTGGTATGGCTGACGTGGGCAGAAATACTAAATGCAAACAAAAAACCCTCTAGCAGTAATTTTTAACTGCTACACTCAAAGGTTTTCCTTAAAAAAACCCAAACAAAAATGAAACCAAAAAACCCAAAGTGAACTAGGTGTGCTGAAAAGATTCAGAGTCCAACCAAAACTACGTTTAATTACAGCGTACGATGAGCTGCACACACATTAACCATGTCTAAAAACCACTGACGCTTGCCTGACAGATAGTACACAGAAGAAACACTTCAAAGACCAGCTCCTCATCCTAGAGGGAGAAGGCAAGAGGCAGAAAAAGAACACAGTAGCTAAGGGCAAGCAGGAGATTAGCTCAGGATCAAGTGCTGTTGAATTGGACTGATGTAGTGTGTAAGAGTAAATGAAAAAAGCTGATCTGTCAAATTTCTACTGCATATAAAAAACCACAGTAAAACCAACAACTACTGCAACCTTCACGTTATATAGTGCAATCTCAGACGTCAATAACAAGCTAGTATCTCCAAACAAAATCATACATAAGATAAAACAAATTTTATCAGGAACTAGTAGTGTCAAAGCATTATTTCCCTACAAAAAAAAACTAGGTTAAAAATCTGTCTTCCACCAGGTAAACACATGATTCAGCTACATAATGTGTACACCCAGCACCTATGATAGTATGAGTGAACCAAGACTTGCAACTCCCATGTAGCTTCAAAAAAAACAAAAAAAAGAAATTCAAACCCCACAAAGCTCACGTACAAGACACTAAAAGCAAGCCCCCACTGGGGAATATAATCTATCCACTAGTATTTGCCTCATTACACAATTTTAAATATTTAAGGTCATCCAATACTTATTTCCATGTCTAATTCATCTTTAATCCACTTATTAAAATAATCTATTTTGCATCTTCCTATTAAACACATTACTCGTGGTTCAATCAAGTTTAGACTCTTCTGGCTGATATAGTGTTTTGCAGAAGGGAAAGGACAAAAGAAAAAAGGAGAAAACAAAAAAAAAAGGCAAAATCCTAACCAGGCGCTGCCAGCAGTTACTCAAGACCTAGTTGGATTTTGTTACAGATTTAAGTTACTATTAAAGTTCACACATTTAGGAAAAGTCATTTTCAAGATACCTTGAAAGTTAAAACTGCAGTTGATACTGCAAACGCACTAGGACCTCAAGAATAACTCACCGTTATGAAGAAAGTCTATTTCAATTTTTACTGAATTTACACAGTTTTAGATCCAAGTCTACAGATAATCAATTATTTATTAGAAACTTTAAGCATATTGCTTTGAAAGCAGCTCCATAATCTACTGAGTATACTAACTCATGCACTTTTAATCACCTTTTACTTCAGTACCTAATATGTAAGGCTTACAAGTGGTACAGAAATCTGGAAAAGCTACAGGGGTTTTATGTCAGATTTCTTTAAAAGACAATTCCACAACTTCAGTTAGAAATTTGAAATGGCCGTGCTTTCGCATGGGAAAATATCCAGCTATTCCTGGACACTTCTGAAGGGTAACTGATTTTAGTTTATCTTTTCTGTTACAAAAAAACCCAAAACAACAACAAAACTCAACAATGCATCATGTCAAAACCAGAATAAAACCTTCTATTGTACTACTGTCTGTAAGAGCTACAAGGAAAAATAAAGACTTATCTAGGACAATGCTACATAGTCCTTCAGCTCTTCTCACATGGAAGGTCTTACAGGTTTCCACAGGCTACTCGGAAGAATACAGGTGTGTCACCTAGGCATACGGCTGCAACTTACCCACAGAATACAGGGGCTTCATAGTCTTATGTCTGCAAAGTTTATGATCGCACGTACAGCTATTAAATAATGGATTCTAATTGAAAATAAAGGGCTACTAGCTTAGTTTTCCTTTTCTAGCTTTAAAATAATTAGCTCTTCCACATGTCACAGAACATGGTCAACAAATATAATCATGTAACAATATAAAAAGTGTTGAGGTCAGAAGTGAGAAGAGTAAAAACAGCCTTTTTTTCCCCCCCTAGCATCTATGAATGGAATGATTTCAGTTCATTACCAAAAGCCAGAATTTCATGTCTTAACTGTAATACTTAATAACAAATGCAAACAAGAGTTTCTAATCACTGGGTGTTTCAGTCTCTGCTGGACCTCTAATCAGTCTTCGTATTCCCCTCTTCCCCGCAGGACCTTTTGGTTTAGCAAAACTTTGTTTGTGAGCATGTTGTTTTGGATGAACCTCTTCATAAAGAAAGTCAGCAGTTAACTCATCACCGTCATCTATTTCAATCTGGGAAAAAAAACCAACAACATTTATCCTATTCAGCTGAAAGATGTATTTAAAAACATTCTGAAATTTTGCTGAAGCTCTAAATACTATATTAAAACCATATGTGCAATAATGTTCCGAGTCTAGCATGAAATGTTCTCCAGCTTGTGCCTAATGCCCTGAAGAATCTTGGACAGTTTTTCTGAAAATCCACTATACTCTTACCAGTTTTAAGGTGCTTTAACTTACATTTTTTTCCCCTAAAATATCAGCACAACGACACAGTACACATGCCAAGAAACTTCATCTGTCCCAAGCTTTAGCACAGTGTACATGTTAATACTAACAAGAAGTACAGGTTTCACGTGGAAACAAGTGCCTATTTACTCATCTGTAAAGTAACTTCCTTAATAAAAGATGAGAAAGCAGCACGCAGATCTTTCAGAACTACTATTTCTTTACTCTCCTCTCTAAAATAAGAGCTTTTCATTGTCCCAACGTAATCTCCACATTGTAAGAATTAAAATTTTTCACTAAAATGTACTTTAAACACTAACTGTAAAAGCAATGTGCACACATATTGTTATCTCTTGAGACAGAAGGGGAGCAGCTTATATGATTAGCTGGCTACTGCAACTCAGCAAGTATTCAAGCCAGGCAAAAGCTCAAATAAGTTTAATGAACAAAAAGAAGAGTTGTTCTGTTTTTTAAAATTCAAGCATATAAACCTGAATGGAAATAAAATACTGTTCTCAAGCCAAACCTCACTGTTTTGAATTGCAGGAATTTAGAATCAGAGAAATGCTTTGGCCCTGGTCTGCTGAACATTCAACACTTCATGGCCCACAACCATAGCACTTGATGGACCGGCCAGCCAAGGTATTGCTGTTACAAGCACATGCTTCAGAAATACGTCTGCGGGAATTTCAGGAGTCAACATGGTGCATTTATTTTGTTGTAGAAAGGAAATTTCTGAGAAATAATTACATACAAAAACACACAGTAATAATCGACTTAATTCATGTCACTGCAGTAAAAATGGTTAGTTTTAACTCTGCTATTTTTTAAGTAGGCATAATCCCCAGAGAATGCAAGCCTCAAAGTTTTTCTAAATTTACAGCACAAGCGTTAAGAACGTAACCACAGGTCACATATTCCACAAATGCACCACTCCCATGCTCTGGAGGTCAGAAGCAACTTATTGCATAGTAGTAAAGTCTACACAATGTGAAAAGATCAGCTTACTTGCAAATCATTGTTTGCCCCATCAAGGACTCCTAAGATAGCAGTTTTAAGTTCCAGAACTGCAGCTTGAAATTATTTTGAAAACCCTTAAATAACCTTGGCTTTAAAGGAACGCTGTGCTCAACAACAGCGATGTGTTGTGGTCCACACTATGACAGGCCTTTTAGTAAGAAATTATGTTTGTTCTAAACAGCCCTTCAAAGTACTCAAACGCTCCCTTGATGCACAAGGATATGTTTGTTAAAAGCTACGCAACTGCAGAAATTATGAAGCAGAGGAAAGCTTTCATGACTTAACTTAGTATCTGGAGCTCTATCGGCAAGTATTTCTTGTTCAGTACAAACTTTAAGAGTTACACAACACTTCATTGTCTAAAGAAGGTGGTGGCACAGACAGTTATAGTTAGATATTAAGGGAACAGAGGGATGGAGAAAATACCAGTATACCCAGTATACTTACCTTTCTGATTATCTGCATCCACAACTGTCTTTCTACAATTTCTAACAGTGGACTTTTGCAACTGGAGTAGAGCATTCGTTCTCGTATACTACAGGTATACCCTGGCATAGAGTAGATGAAAACTGCAGAAAGAAAAACAACCACAAATCAGACTGTAACTACACTCCATCAAAACCTGTATCATAACATCATTTACAGCAGAGAGGTATTGAAAGTCAACCATGCAGTCCGAAAGGGAAAAATGTTAACACCATTCTGGATCTTTTTCCCTTCAGCAAGTGTTTAATTTCAAATGGAGGATGAGAGAATGGCCAGTATCTTTATGTTCACCTGAGGACTGATTTATGGTGTTCATATTCAAAAGGGATAGCTCACTACTTTCTAAACAAAAGGGCTCTTCAGAAGGCAGTTTCACAACCAAATGACTCTGAAATTTACCCTCATGCTGACAGACAGACATCTTTCTCTCTGCCTCAAAATTACTAAAAGTATTTGAAACAAGCCAACGAAATTTCATATTAGGAAATTTTCTCATACCTATGGATTCCAAATAGTCTCCTTCATGGGCATGCTTATACAGGAAAAAGTGGTAACGCGCAGCATCCTTTGGAATTCTTTTTGGCAAGTCCTTAAGTTCAGTATGAAGTGTGTTGGCCAGAATAATAGTTTCATTTTTCATATCAATTTGCTGTTAACAAAGCAAACCTGAATATAGTTAATACACAGAAAGCAAACCAGAGAACATGACAGGATGGAAAACAAATTGAATTAATCTAGTACAGAATGGAAATTTATCAGTGTGCACCATCAACACACATTGTTTAACATGCAGGTAATCTATTTTATATTCACTACTGAAAAATAGTTAAAGTATTTTATACTTGCCAGTTGTACATAATTGAGTTTCTTATTTTTCAATTTCTCCAAAGCCTGAATAGCTTCTTTAGCAATGGGGAATGCTACTCCTTGCAATGTTTGATGCTTGGTATCTACACCAACGTCCGTCTGCACCTGGAACACGAGTCAATTGAGATGTAAACAGAAACCTTTGCAAGCATTTGCTTCATTTCATACAATAACCGACAGTGCATCGGATATGGTTACACAGAGAGTTAGCAGTAGCTATTCCAAGAATAAACTACCCTAAAACATCATCCCCGTATAGTGCATTTTTTTAATTTACAGGTCATGTTTGCTTGCTAACCTGAAAATAGTTGCCCATCTCTGAAACAACTAGCTTTGCAGAGCCAACAGAATCATCAGAGGGAAAACTGGCTCAAGTGCCAGTGAAGAAGCTCTAAATTAAATTCCAGTATAAAGATACAATAAGCCAGGAGGAAAGAGTTTGATTTTCATATGCTGCATTATACTTTTGAACTGACAATACTGCTTGTAAACTTTGTTGTATCTCGAAAAGTGTTAGATCAAAACATACAAATGTCATTTCTAGGCAGTCAAAATTTTCGGATGAAGAGAGAAATTTTATCTTATGAGCCAAACTGATCTTGAAGGAAAAGCAAAGCAACTTTCTTCCCTCCTGCTTCAACACCCTCCCCCCAAAAGCCTATACCAAAAAGAAAGCAAACAAACAAATCTTAATTTTTGACTTCTGGAAGGTCTACCACAAAGGAAAAAAAAACTCAGAGTAACTGCAAGCTAGACAACTGTTCATAATCCAGGTCACAAATTATTTGAGAGAACAGAACCGTTATTTTAAAACCATTTTTCAAGAATTTATGTTTATCTTAACCATTCATGCAGTTTCTCTCAAAATGAGCTCTGGCATCCAGTTTTCCCAAGTCTGAACTTATTGTCCAAGCATTAGCTTTTGAATATATTGACCTCCTTTCAGTATTTCAAAAATAGCTTTAACACTGGTGTTGAAGCAGCAAAAGTCAGAAAAACATACAAAATGGAAAGTGTCTTAGATCTATCAACTAGAAGACGATCAGCTTTAATTAAAAAGAGATGCTAATGAAATATGGAACAAACTGATAAAGAAATAAAAAACAAAGATAATTGGGCAACACTAAATTATGCTCCACATTTTAAGGAACAGTTTGTCAGCAACAAGGGAAGAGCAGAAGAAAGCAAGTGGAAGAGCTACCTTTTGTATAAAGTTTAATAAATCTATGAAGAAGGTTATATAAAAAATATTTGCAAAATATATCTGCATAAAAGCCTGATTAATAAACATAAAATAGGCATCACAAACATAATAAACCATAACAAAATACCATACTATATAAACCATATTAAAATACAAGTAGAAAAAAAAACCCCGAGCTGTGAAGTGGAGGGACAGGCAAGGGAAGAGAGTAACCCAGCATAACTCCAGATTTAAGAAAATGAACAAAATCTACTTGTCCATAATGCAACACTTCAGATCATTAAAGCAAAACAAAAACACCTAAGGCACTTAAAAATATTTGAATTCACACCCTAAGATTTGTTAGTGATGGCTGCAGAGTGATGGATAAAACAGCAGAAGAAATTTCCTGTGAATAAATGTAAAGTTAACATATGCAGGAGGAAAAAGCCCTCTCTTCTACCTGTGCAGTGATGGGGTTGAGCTAGCTACTACCATTCAGGAGCAAGACCTGCAGGTTACACTGAATATCTCTGAAAATATAAGACCAGTGCTTTTGCAGTCTTGGCAAAAAAAAGTTCAAATAAAACAAACAAAAAACCAATAAAACCAACACTCCCCACCCACAAACTAAATGTTATGAACTGTTAGAAAAAGAGTAGAGAACAGAACGCGTCATTACGCACTGTAGATATCAGTAACATGCCGTTATCTTGAATACCACATGCAGTTCTGGCTTCCCCATCCCTCCATCTCATAAAATACATAGCAGAACTGGAAAAACTGTAGAGAAAAGCAAAAGGATCAGAAGTATGGAGCAGCTTCTTGAGGAGGAAGAACTACCTAGATTAGAACTCTTCAGCCTGGAAGAGATAAGTGATAAGGAATACAACAGAGGTCCACAGATACAGAATCATGGAATAGTTTGGGTTGGAAGAGACCTTTAAAGGTCCCTGCAATGAGCAGGGACACCTTCAACTAGATCAGGTTGCTCAGAGACCTGTCCAGCCTGAGCTTGAATGTTTCCAGGGATGGGGCACCTACCACCTTCTCTGGGCAGCCTGTTGCAGTGTTTCACTACCCTCATTGTAAAAAGTTTCTTCCTTCTATCTAGTCTGAATCTGCCCTCTTAGTTTAAAACCATTACTCCTTGTCTTATTGCAACAGGCCCCACTAAGTAGTCCCTCCCCACCTTTCTTGTAGGCCCCCTTTAAGTACCAGAAGGCCACTAGAAGGTCTCCCCGGAGCCTTCTCGTCTCCAGCCTGAACAATCCCAGCTCTTTCAGCCTGTCCTCATAGAAGAGGTATTCCAGCCCTCTGCTCATTTTTGTGGCCCTCCTCTGGACTCGTTCCAACAGGTCCATGTCTTTCCTGTGATGAGGACTCCAGAGCCAAATGCAGCACTGCAGGTGGGGTCTCACAAGAGCAGAGTAGAGGGGGAGAATCACATCCCTCGACCTGCTGGCCACACTTCTTTTGATGTAGCCCAGGATACAACTGGCTTTATCAAAGGGGAGGGGGAAACTGAGAATAACTTAATGACTCTTCTCTGCCTTCCTCAGAAAATCTGTAGGGTTATCAGAATAAACTAGTAGACAGCAGGCAGTGGTTTGTTACACAGTACTTTGTCAAGCTGTGGAATATACTGCCATAGGATCTGTGGCCAACAAAAACTTTATGTGGATTTAGAAAAATGACAAGACTGGATGATGGATGAAAAACCCATTAAGAACAACTATATGGCAAGACATCATCTCTTGCTCAGGAAGATCCCTACTGGCAAACGCCGAGGCAACAGAAAAGTATTCAAGGAAACTTTCACGGTCTTCTTGCCCTGCTCTTAGACCCTTCCTAGATTTCTGCTGTTGTTCACTCGGGGGCTTGACGGCAGACTAGGTAGGTGATTCTTTGATCTGACCCAGTATATTTAACACCCTAATATTTCTTAGGGTAATTAGGAAAGAATATACATACAAAAAATGCAAATTTTCTTTTTTTTTCTAAATCAGAAAGCTTTTAGTTTTCTGACTGTAATTACAGGCTTCATAATGGTGGAAACAATGAAGAGAGAAATGGCCTAAGTTAATGTATTGCAAGATGCTTCAAACAAAGCCAAAATGGCAGCAATCTACAGTTTATGTATCTCTGAAAAGCACAGCTATTGCTGCTCAATAATAGCACATAAAGTTTTAGACTGCATGAATCAGCTGTGAAACACAACGTACGTAGTGCATAAGAGATAATACTAATACCAGAAGTGATCATCAATACCACAGAAGTTTTACATTCATTAGTGGGTTGTTTTTTTTTAAAGCTGTTCAAGTAAAATGCCATGTTTGATGATGGTGAATGCATTTCTACATTGGATTAATCAAAATTAGACATGCAAAATAATAAAAGACACCACTGGAAAAAAAAGTCAATAAACAAAGCCGCAGCAAAAGCACAGTAGAGTGAAAACATAAGAGAAGATACAGAGCTGCATTTAACACGATGGTTTGCTGGTATCCAGCTGCAGAAAGAAACCATATTTTAAACACATGTACCACTGCTGTAAAATATAAGCCTAAAGAACTAATAAGATCAGCACATGACCCATTTTAATACATGTCTGAACACAAACAGTGATCAAGAGAAGGAAAAACGTGAAAAAAGAATCCTCTGAAACTTGTCGGTCACTAGCCAGCCGGCAGTCATAGAATTATTTTCTTCAAGGCATTTGTTAGAGCTTTTTCTATAAAGCATTTGTAGAAAAGCAAACCAGCCTCTTAAAAGGACTAGCTACTTGTTTTGGGTTTCTATTTTATTTTTACTGGAATTCACAGAATCACAGAATGTTAGGGGGTGGAAGGGACCTCGAAAGATCATCTAGTCCAACCCCCCTGCCAGAGCAGGACCACTACTTCCTCTCAGTCTTAGAGACACGTGCACTGGTGCTGGAAGCTAAGTACGTTTCCTCTAGAAGTAAAGCTGCTGAAACGCTCCTGGCAATCATTCACTGCAACCATTGCTATTGTGTTTTCTCTCCAATTTCTGCCACCATAGGAAATGTACGTGGACAATCACAGAACGGCTGAGGTTGGAAGGCACCTCCAGAGGTCATCTTGTCCAACCACCCTGCTCAACCACGGCCACCTAGAGCCAGCTGCCCAGATCTCTGCCCACCTGTCTTTTGAGTATCTCCAAGATGGAGACTCCACAGCCTCTCTGGACAACCTGTGCCAGTGCTCAGTCACCCTTCACAGTGAAGCATATCCAGTAATGTCAAAAGCATTAAGGGCCACAGTTGAAACAACTAAGCTCTGCAGTTGTGAGGCCTCTGATTCAGAGGCTAGGTCTTGCAATCTCAGCAAGATCATGCCAATTCAACTCCAGCCATTGTCATCCTCCAGTCTCAACTCATCAAGAAATAAATGTATATTCTCGTCCACGCAAACTTTCTGAAACTTTCCATTTCCTGTTCTGCCCTTTTATACCCTACAAAAACTTTTTCCC